ACTGCAAATTTTAAATGAAGTCTATTAAACCACAGCAAGGTCAAGTCACTTAGACAAAGTCAAGCACACGGAGTCATCTCAGCAAAAGTAAGCCCAGTCCTACATAAGTTTGTGCACACAGTTTAAATTTGAATCAAGAATTAAATTCTAGTTGTAGATTAATGTAAAGATCAGTATGTCAGCTCTTCATTTACATTCTATAAACATTCACTGATTTTCATACCCAATTAAGTGAGCAAATAGCAACTAAATTTACAAATATGTACACACATTTTTCATTGTCCTGTTTCCTTGCATTGCTAGTTGCTATCACAGCCCTCTGTTTTGTTGCAGTCTCCATGATGGGTATGATTTTTGCCTCAAATCTGTTTTAAACATTTTTTCACCTACAGTTAATTTTTATGGTTATAAAATAATCAAAATCAAAATTTAGGAAAAGTTAATATAATACTTTAAAATCATCTATATTCAAAGCAATTAAGATATGTGCCTGAACTGGTAACAAAGTAGCTTGCACAACTTAATTTTAGGAAATTTAAAATCACTATTTCAAAAGTATTAACTTTCTTTAGACTTAAAACATTACAATGTAATTAACGTTAATATAACCATGACTTCACAAAATGGGCCACTTTCTTTTTGGTATGGGTTGAATATTTATAAAGAGGCTTTCTACTATCTTTTGGTCTACAAACTAACAGTCACCAACTTCTATATAAAGAGCGTGAAAGAAATGTATTAAAATTGTAATCTTTATGAGAGACACAACTTTAGTGCCAAAACAGTTTGAGGAAGGTGGTTTATCTTTGAATCAATTACACAAATATAATTTTTTATTCCTAAAAACTTCTTTCATTATGTATGACAGTTACATCCTGAAGAGTAACAAGATAAACATGTGTATCATAGTCAATGAAATATATTTATTACTTACATCTGACAATCCGGGACCCAGCGCGTCTGTACTTTGACATGGTTGTTAAGCTGGTTGCTCAAATTTACTTCAATGCCTTGTTATGTTTCCAATCAAATAAGGATAGTTTATGTTAACTCCGTGTATTTTATACTGCATGTAATTTGAACAATGTGAATATCAATGGATTCTGTGGGTAAGAGCAGTATGAAACAGCTATATCCCTGCAGAAAACAACATAAAAATTCTTAAAGAATGAATAAGTACAATCAAGGAAGTTTACTAGTACTGAATTTAGGGCACTGATAGCTCATAATTGAGTGTTAAGAAGAGAGCTCAAATTATTACAAAAACTGCAAAATAACACCACAAAAATAAATTTGGTATTAAATGTGGTTCATAATAGGATTTTATCTTTTTATATTGAGAAATGTGCATGAGTGTATGAAATGAATTAGGAAGAGATGTGAACATATTATGGAACTGTTTGCTGTTTTCAACAGCAGATGTTCTAGTGCAAGGTCCACTCAAGACAAGTAACGCTGTGAAGCACTATACACTGTTAACACAAGATGTTTGTTTTGGTATAAAAATGAATTCTCTACGTGCCAATAATATCACCTATAAATAATTAATACTATAAAAATATATAATTTTGACTTTCCAAGTAGGAATGCTTAAAATCCTTGTTATATTTAAAGTATACCATATTTTACTATAAAGGATTTTATAATTGCTCTTTCATTAACTGACAGACAAAAATATTTTAACTAATCATAGTTTTGGAAGCCTCAGTCATCCATCCCATCCATCATGAGTTACCAGGAATCAATTTAGTGAACTAGCAGAGTAAGTTCTGTAAATTTAGAAGCAACATTATAAGATGATGTTAAATTTTGAATAAGTTACAGCAGTGTTTCTCAACCAGTGAGTTGCAAACTTTTGAATTCATATGTGTTTCTATACATTTAACAATAATTTGTAAAGTGTGGTACCTAACAGCAGTGAGATCTTATATGACCATGTTCTGTCATCTTATTGACCTGTGCTGCTAGTTCCCTGTTAAATTTTCCCTGTATCACTATTTTTCATGTCACTTCATATTTATTCATGCACATTTCCAGAATTGCTGTTTTTAATACTAATATCTACTGTTTGTTACTCTTGTAATGTATACTTGGTCCTAAAATATTTTTAATTTTACATTTTTCTATGAATTATAATGCATATTAAAAAAAAGCGGTGTACATGGTCAGTATAGTGATTGGCTACGGACTGGACGACTAGGGTTCGATCCCCGACAGCGGCAGAGGATTTTTCCTCTAGCTTCTGCGTCCAGACCAGTTCTGGGGCTCACCCAGCCTCCTATCCAATGGGTACTGGGGTCCTATCTCAGGGGTAAAGGGTGGCTGGGGCATAATGCTGACCACTCACCCCCATCTAGTGCCAAGGTCAAGAATAAGTAGGAGCTATACCACCTCTCACCCCAAGTGCCTACATGGCATAAAGTGGGACAGCTTTACTTTACTTTTTACATGAGAAGTATAATGAAGGAAGAAGAAAAATATGAACATGGTTTAAGCATACACATTCATCTGTACATACACTCCTGTATATACATAACTTTAGAAATAAATTACTTACCACGTCATAAGATACTGAAATAAATTTTAACCGTAGTTTGTTGTTGACTGGAAAAGGTTGAGATAATCAATTACAAAACTGTCTACTGTAAAGACTATTAAACATTTTATATATATACATAAAGCAATGATTCTACCTGATGCTTTGATTGTATGTGAGACAGGCATTTTACTCAAGTCCAAAGTTCAATATTCCATTATAAACAGATGAATTGGCAAAGACCACAATGATTTTAAAACAAACAATATTTCATTCTAATATCTGCCTCTTAATTAAAAGTCATTTAACATTCACAAACACAAAGAGGTATAGGAATGTGTTGTACAATGGAGTTTCACTTTATATTTGAATGGCAAGTAAAAATCACTTTTTCATGCTCAATTGTGCTTAAAGATTGAAAAAAAAGATCACTGAATTAATATTACCTCCTTTAACAAGACAAATCAACACTTATAAATATCTTTGATGTTCTCTATCAAGTGAAAGAGATGATATAGGTGCAAAATATCTAAAAGTTGCAGGTCTAATGAGCAAACCATCAGAAGTTTACACAAGAGTCTGAGTGAACTGATGACTGAATATGCACAGACAAAACTTTTCAACTACAGAAAGAAATCAATTCGCAATGCTGACAGAGTGCAGGAAGACTCCTTAAATTAAAGACAAATGTCCAGACTGACCAGAACAAACAACCAAAGTAGATACTGAGACTACTAGACAACTGAGGCAAAAACTAATCATTAAACTGACCAACTCCTCAACATTTTAATAATGACAGCATATGAAAGAGTAATAAGAATAATTCCTCAAACTATTTTTAAACCCAATGGAAATGTTAATGAAAAGATATGAAGTATATGTTAAATTAATAATCAACACTTGCCTAAAGTTTAATTTTATATTTAAAACTTGATAATCACTCCACAGCCTAACTGGCATTAAGTGGTCTATGTAATACACAATTAATACAGGTGTATGAAACCATGTTCATAACATTTCTGCAAGTCAAAATGAGTCCACCAACAACTTCAAGCTGGAAAAAGCTGAGTCAAAAATCTGAATTGAAAATAACAATGTAGAAGGTTACACTACCACCAGCATATATAACACTGACAAAGATTTTGTTTCAGAAATATCTGGACACTAAATATTGACCCTTTCCACATTTAGTTTTATTTAGAAAATAGTCAATCTTTAATTGTACATAGTAATCATAGTAACTTAGATGATTTTCATTGCTGAAGTACCAAAAATAATTTAACAAATAAAAACAGGAGAAGTATTTCTTTTACTGACACTCTTAAACACCAAAGTTATTCTCAGCAAGATTAACTGGTGTTCTAGTCAAAAAAAATCTGGTTCATAACATGGAATGGGTTAGTAATTTAAACCTTCATCTCACAGGAAAAGGAAATTTAATCCTCCATACTACAGGGAAGTCAACCAGACTTTCCCTGGGGTTAACAGTTTAGCAGCATGCTAGAATAATGCATGGTCAGCTGGACTGCATGTGGACTCAGTAGTTTCCAGAATGAAGTTCCTCAAACCAAGTCAGTCCAGTCTGTAGTAATAGTTAACATGTACTGTTTCAGAGCACAACCAAGTTCCTGCCAGTGACCAGTCCTTTTACCAATAAGTGTGCAATACTTTAAATAACAGACTTCCACCATCACCCATTTCCTCTTTGTGACAGAAGAAAAGAGCACTGAAGTAATTTCTTTGCCAAAATCTTTACAGAAATATTTGTACTTATATATTAAGTTTCCTGGATGTATGGTTGTGTATATAATGTGAGGTCTTTAAATTAATAGAAATTTATTACAATTACTGTTAATTTGTAATACAAGGTATTTATTTCCACATTTAACCCCATAAATTAAAATTTTAAAAGAGACAGTACTGACTTTTATGGGAAAATCCTAGCACTGGTATTTACTCATTTATTCACAGCAGATAATTTTATTTAAATTACACTTGTAAATTCCAGAGACTGAATTTGAGAGACTGAAGTATGTTCAGCATTGCTATTATGTTAATTCATTACTTATTTTATAGATTCATTGCAGATTTTCTAATGTAATTCCTTAATCATGGAATTAACATTGGATCAATTTAATTTTCTGAATCTCTTTCATACCCAGATATAAACATTGTGTAACCAATATGAAAATAAAACTACTTAAATTGTATTCATAAGGAAACATAATTTTACAACAGTAATTTAAATGACATGTTTCATTTGGAGTAATGTTGCAACCAAAATATCCACAAATCCTCTGAACATAAATTTGTAGCAATTTAATAACTGGTATATTGCATTAGCTGGATCTCAGTTATGGGTCAACAGAATTTTTTTATTTCATGTACTGCATATGCACTCTTCTAGTATTTTTGCATATAGACAAAAGTCTTGAAAACTACTTAGATTAATATTATAGTCTCTGTTACTAAACATGTTTATTGAAAGCATGTAATTTGAAGTGATATATTCATGTTGTGACCATCATTATTTTTAATGTTTTGAAAATTAAGTCAACTACCTAGATTGCTTTGTAGCGCATTTTAACAATTTTAATCTTGTTTCTGATTAGCTTCAGAATACTTCTGTATCAGTGTTCATTAAGAAAATCCAAGAAACTAAAACAACTAATCAATTTAAAGAAAGCACTGCAAATGTTTACTTAATAAAATATACATTAATGCTAATGTTCTCTAATTACAAACTATCTTGGAATTCTATCATAAAAATATTAACTTTAGTATGACTCACATCATTGCCTTTCTCTTGAAGCTCAATTTTATTTGTTAAATAATATGCCATACTGAAAGAAAACCATGACAAACAGTTTCGGTGAATATTGACACCACATGCCATATAAATAATTATTCCTTCACATCATGTTACATCTACTCAGCTATCATAAAATGATGAGCAGCCATCTTCTAAATCCATATCATGTGCTACCTTGTTCTTATTTTGATTATACCACACTGCTGACAACATTCAATCTGTACCAGTCTTTGTGCATTCATTTGTTGTCCACTTCCTTGACTTCCATCCCTAAGGTTTGTGTTAACTGAAAATTATTATTATTTACATTGTTGTTATTTTTTGTAAGTATTAGGAAACTGTGCTTGCCAATGATTGCCACCATTTATTTTATCCTACATTTTTATACAATTTTTGTCTTATTTTAGTTTAAGGTATCACTAACATTTTGAGTGTTATAAGGAGTGAGTATGATTGTGATTGGTTAAGAATTAACTGTATGTAATAGTTTTATAATGAAAGTATATTTTAAACAGTGCAGAATATTATATGAGTACTGTATAATTATATACTGCAGGAGATAGATTACACAGATTTACACATTAAATATATTCATCAGTTGCAATATGATAAATGCATTCTCACTTGAAATTGCAGTAACTGCCATTTTGTGTTTCACCAAAATGTATCTGAACATTGCTTCTGTGTTCTATTTAATTTCTTCCCCCATTTTTACTTAATTCTGTTGTTTACAGTCTCCTGTAGTTCATGTTTTCTCCTGTAAAGTTGGCAGTACATTCATGAATACTGTATGCTGTATTATGTATTTTTAAGTACTGTTGTATTGTTGTATAAGCCATACATTTGGAAAAATCAAGATGTCAGACACTGCTCCTTCATTTAGGAGGGACTGTGGCATTAACCTGTCACAATGGGCTACTTTGCAACCACTTGGCTAGTTAAGTCAGTCATGCCATAATCATTTCACAGATGATGCCCTAAGAACAGCTTTGCCATAGGACTGAACTGACATGGTGTTCTTTTTGTAGTTTGGCCACCATCATTAAAACTTGTTGAAGTTGTCATTGCACATGGTTACTGAAAAACTTCAATTTTCTTGATTGCTCAATCTCTTTGCGAAACGTTTCTGGTCTGTATGCCATATTTACTTTGTGAGAACTTTTTTAATAATGTTACAGTCCCTGTCACACAGTCCTCTGACAGGGAACATTGGAAGAGTTTGTTGAATCTCCCATTAATGGCTAAAGGTATAGGGAATCTGATAACAATATGGCTTCTCTTTTGGCTAAGGCAACCGTTGGAAAAAAGTTGCAGTTTTTGACAGTTTCAGATACATGGTTAGATATGTAAATTAATAATAACATGTTTCATTGAGTCCCTTCATAGTTTGCCCTACATTATACAGATAAAGTGTGACATAATTTTTAGGTTATTTATTCCAAGTATAATATACCTGTGGCTGGCAAAATAAAAAAATCTCATGCAGAGGTATGTGTAAATGTTAGACTGTAGTTTCTTGTTAACATTCATAGTCTGAGATCCTACAACCAGAATACAGCTGTAATTATGGCAACATCAGTGATATGTGAACTCATAAAATTTGGAGGGAAAAAACTCTGCCAAGATCTGCTTGGGATATGTGTTGTTTTCATGTAAGTTCATGGGTCTATACTTGAAGAATCGTATTTGATAAACACACCGTTTCAGAAAAATGGCATGCCCTTGTCATTCCCATATTCATTTAACAGGAAGTGTTATAAGTTTTATCTAAACCTTTCACTTCAAATACAGTATTTCAATTGTATGTAATAAAATGTGGGGAACTACATATAAAAGTTATGTTTAAGAAGTTCTCTTTGTTAACTGCTGTCATGTTTAAGTCATTATTATATAGTAACATACAATAAGTTTACTTGGAGTTTACAGGAGCCATAAGTGATCTGTTGGTTGACAGGCCAGACTTTTGTTTATTGCTGTTGAAATTTGTATGCTTTAATGTGTTGTCAGAAAGTCAAAATTGACCTAGTAATTGATCTGAAACTTCTGTTTAAGCATTTCTGCCCTGTCAGTAATACATGTTGAAAAGTTCAGTGACAATTAATTACAGAAGTAATGGGAAATCTATTTCATAGGAATCCAAACAGTAATTTGTAATATTTGTTTGACATTTCTGCTATTGACAGGAAAGTGTGTAACATAGTTTTGGGATCAAAGACAAGGGATTAGCATCTTGTACCTGCAGTGCATATAAGCTTAATTCTTTAACCTCTTGAAGGTTATGTTTACAGCCGTATGTTCACACATGAACACAAACATTTGTCTCAGGATGCATATTCCATGCTGAGAACTCTGTAAGTGTCTTATCCTTATGAAGGGGCGAGCCTGGCACATTAAAAAAAATGGTGCCAGTGGGATGTTGTCTGTACATATATCTGGCCTGTTAGCTGAAGGAAATTTCTGCTTGCAGGAATGGCTTAAGAAATTGCCCTTAACCACTTGGAGTCTCCTTTAAATTGCCTAGAGTATCCATGTAAATGGCTGGGTCAGAAAAGGAAGCAAAGACAACATGACTTCTGGTCATGGTGAAGGTCTGTAGGCAATATCATCATCCACAAACAGAGCTCAGTCTCTGACTCCAGTGGGTTAAACAGTTAACAGGTTGTTTCCAAAAGGTTCCCAAAATTTACAGTAGCTTTTGTTTAAGCAAAGAGACTTCAGTTACATTTTTACCAGGTGGTTGCATTGTAGTACACATATGAACCTTCTCTCAGGGCTCCTATAATGGGAGATTTAGTAAGTTGGTCACAACACTGCAAGCAACTGACTGACAACTCTAGCTTTTCTCTGTACAGAATAACATCAATAAAGATTAAATTACACTTCCTGTTTTGTATTTTGTCACCAGTTTAAATTAATAACATGCCTGTTTTTGACGTAGTTCATTTTCTTTGGGTTTTCCCACTGTCGCATGTTCACTGTTCTCATTTTCCAGAATTAGTGGTAATTTCAGTCCCATTTCCTTTAAATTCATTTTTGTCTGTCACTCATATATTCCTTGTAACCACTTTGAGTTTTCTCCCCCTTTTCCACATTTTCTACATGGTGTCTAATGACACTAATTGGTTTGACAAATGCCTATACCATACTTAATATTTTTTTCTCTCTCCACTGTTTTCCTCTATTTCCAGCCCTCCTTTTTATCTTATGCCCAATTTTACATTTGTAAACATTACTAAGAATTAATTTAAAACATAGCATGCTTTTCCTCTTGTTTAGTATCTAGTATGAAGACGGCTGTCTTTTGGGATGTTATGCCATGTAATCTGATATTTCAGAGGTGCTTGCTGCCTCTATCATCAGGGTGATGAGTAAGCTGAGCACAAGGAATTTGTTTGAGATATGGGAATCAGTCGGACAGTTAAAACCTTGGCTGGACCAGTGGGGAAAAGGGTGAAAATTGGCTGAGGGCAACAAAGAAGGGCAAACCATAGCCCGACCAGAAATGGGAGGGGGGGGGGGGGGGGGGGGGTAAGGTTTAGCATGAGAGAGAGAAAGGAAAGGTCCTTATCAGGGCCCCTCAAGGACCCCAACAGAGAGATCACGAGACACAGGGAAATGAGAATAAAAGTCCTCCTATTATTAAGCCACAGATGTGTTTAATATTTAATTATTTTCTGCAGACATGTTTGATTTGAGGTTCCCACAGCAGTGCACCTGTTAGTGTTGGTCTTCTGGATTGTAATGTTATGTAGACTTGAAGATAGATGCAACTTTTCAGAAAAACATACTGTCTCCATCTTTGCTGTAAAGATGGAGACAGCATGTTTCTCTAATATGGTGGTATCTACCTGTAACTTCACAAGGCATTACAACCCAGAAGACGAACACTTACATTTATGTAGACATATATAAACTTCTTTGAATGAGGTTATGGTATAATGGTAATGAGTGTATTTGTTGCTGAGTAAGGAAATATAATTCCATTGTGTAATTCCTTACATGTGATATGTCAGTTACATTTCATAATGTTTAACAACAAATTTTAAATAGCAAAACTATTAATAACTTCTTCATTTGCTGAGCAGTGTAGATCTTGGGAACCTTTTCATTATCAGTCACTTGGATGGATTTATCACTAATTATCTTCATTTCATACAAACACATATGACACCACATATTTCTGCAGTATTTAGCATCTTGCATACTTTAAATCGACATAAAAATATAAAATTTTCTGTACAGATTAATAAAGAGCTTAAAATTTCTTAAATGTTTCATCACAGTACATTTCCTCAGCATGGCAGGAGTCCAATTAATTGAAAGTATTAAAATACTTACTTTTGCCTGTGGCAACACTTAATAATCTCATATAAAGAGAAACAGTAATGATAAGAAAGCTCATTGGCTGTAGGAACAAAAATTACAGCAAGTTTCGCATGCAAATGCATATCTGTACTCTTGATAGAATTCACACAACTTCTCCACAGTTTCCATTAGAGTTTGTAAAACACTTGAACTACACTGAATACTTGGCACCATTAACCAACTGTCAACTTGGTAAGTGATCACCATACAAAGTTCCTGAAGTTCTCTCATCACCTTCATGTTCAATGTGTCTTCACCTCCAGAAGCTGAGGGTAATTATCGACAATATTGAGCAGAATACCATCAATATATGACCTTAACTGTGAATTAACTTCTTGTTGCTCCTTGAGAGCTGTCCTCATCTGAGAAACAATAAAAATATAGTAGTATTATATTTCCTGTCCTTTAATAACCTGATTTACCCTTCATGTACAAACTGTTGGGTAATAAGGCCATAACTTAATTTATGCATTTCCTTCTACCAGGAAATTAATTATTTTCCATCCATTCATAAACAGAGAACACATCACACATAATAAGAAACTCACAAAACTTAAACACGACAATCAAAACACATTTCGGGTTTGCTTTTGTTTCAACAATGCATTTGGTATTCAAATAACTGCAATCCAAGGTTCTTGTATGTGTACTGCCAAGTTCAAAATGGTCCGAGTATTTATTATTAGAAGAACTACTATATCTATATCTATATCTAAACACTGTTTGGATGTATCTTGTGTTTGTTGTGGACATGAACTGAAGACCACTTAATAACAATGTATGCAATTAAAACTGATTTTAATTTAAAACATTTCCATGGTGTGGTACAGTCTGTTTCTTGTAACTGCCCATCTATTCTCATCATACTTGCAATTAAGTTCAGATGGACAATTACAACTTCCAATTAATAATAAATTGTTTGCAGAGAACTATTAAAAAAACTGACACAAGTTTCCACATTTTATGGAACCTAAAGGTGTACTGCAATATCCACAAGAGCCTACCAATGAACTCTACCTTGAATAAGTTGAAACCAATCCATACATACCCTCACACCATATTATTTTATTAACCACAAACTTGTATATAGAGTCAGTTTTAACTTTTTTTGGAACAAATTTTTTATAATACTAATAAAGTTTCTGAAATCATTACACGCATAAATACAGCATATTAAAACCATTTGTTTGCAATGGAATAATACCAATAAGCATTTTTCAAACCCAAAATTTGTGACTTATTTGGAAAGTGAGCATAGAATTCCAAGAGGCTTTGAAATAAATATTATTATATATAATGAAACTATTTAACCCATTAATGGAAAACAATGGATACATCCACCATCAAAACAAGTGACTTGCACAAAATGGCACGGATGCAAACTTGTCATGCCCAGCACAAGGAATGCATCTGTTCTGAAAGCATATCACATCTGTTATTATCGTTGTTTGTTTCTGCTAGCTATTTGTATCAGATAATGTTCATGACTCACATTCCAATAGCTTAAATGTTGTATGCTAAAGCATAAAACAAACCATGCTATAAAATTAAAATAGTGTACACAATCACCAGAAGTTGGTACAACAGTCAAGTCAAATGCACTGTAATAAAAATTAGTTTACTGCATGCAAATTACTGATGAAATACTGACATGTATTTTCATAGTAAAATAAAATGGGAAAAGAATGGATGGATGGGTCAGAAGATGGTAGAATCCTAGACTCTTAACATAAAAAATCTTCTGGTATTCAGTATAATTCCTTGTTCACAGAAAAACTAATACATCTTGAGCACTGTATTTCCAGCTCCTGAAATCTTGAACACATGGTTTCAACTATTTTCTCTTTGACACACCACAGACTGTACAGCAATCCACACTCTGTTTTCTCCCTTCCTACTCTGGACACTTAAGTTCTCGAGTATCAGTGCACAAATGTTCACATTTTTATCTCCACAGGTTCAGAAATTTAATTTCATCGTAATATTTTCAACCTGCCAGATACTTTCCAGGCTTCATCATAAGGTGTCAAAAGTATGGCCTAAAAATTCTGCTTCTTGTTTGCTTCAAGTGCTAATAAGACACCATTCAAGCGACTTACTGGAGGGATGCTGGGTCAGATTCTTTGTTGCTACAGTTTACAGGATTGTTTCACCTCCTACTGTACCATTATACAAGTCCATAAACCATCAATGTAGGAGCACATTAAGAGTCAGTGAACATGCTGCTTCACCACACCAAATAAGCACATGAAACATTGGTATAAGCATTCGACCGCAGGCTACCATAAAGCATGGCACTAACCTCAAAGTGCAAGATGCAGCTGAGCATGCACAGGTAATAACAAAATCTCAATAATAAGTACATCAAGACAAACACTGGATATGCAAGAGTGGGAACAAATCACTGGTTATTTCAAGAGCACTGTTAGTAAAGCCTGTAATTCAACTCATCTTCACACACTGTAATATGAGTGTGATCTACAACAGCCTACCTTCTCTAGGGTGATTTGTTCCTGAGTATTATCCCTCAACTGTAAAAACAGAACAAAAAAAACAAAAACAAATTCAAAGTAAAAAAATTGTAGGTATAAAGCATGGACCCATTATTGTACATGATGAAAGCTGGCAGTAAATCAAGCAAACATATCAACAAAGCAACAACAATGCTTGCTAGCTTCTTTGGTTTCAGGATAAATGTAGCACATTCATTGTCTATGACAATTCATCAAAGAAAAACATCAGTGTCTGCATCAAAGTTAAAAAACAGTTTATGTCACATAATGATGTGTCATTCCCATAAAAGATAAAATACTTGACCAAAATTACTTTCTGATAACCCTTAAAAGATAATATATACTAATGTTTATTGCTAGCAGATTCTAGAAACGAGACACTTGTGTCTTTGTGATGTAAGCAACATCAACAATTGCACACTGCATGCCTCTGTGGGTCAGTGAAATGTGAACAGACTCTACAGTTTTATGCAGAAACAATAATGTGCAACTTTCAACAGTAACATGATGAAAGGAAGATAAGAGATGCTTGAAATTATTCTTTACTGTTCATTAGAATACAACCAACTTCTGTAATCCTATAAACTTCATGGAAAATGGTCGATCCTGAAAATTTCCTGGTCAAGCACATTCCACGCTTTATTCCCCAAAACGATGTCTTTCCTCGACATTTTATAACAAATTCTGTACGAGCTTTTCATTTCACAAGTAAATACCACTCATTTCATTCCATTATTCTACAGACGTACAATTCATAGAACCATTTAACCCTTTCAGAGTATTTTTCATACAAAATTGGGGAAGGGAAAAAAATCATGCAATATTAGCTTAATTTGCCATAAAGCTGATAAAACACTCCTGTGATATACAGAGGGATGCTGTATCAAGGTTTGACCAGAATTACTAAGCATTATGCTGTGGAAGGGAATTCTAAGATATCTACGTTTATGCCAAGTATCACTGTTACTCTGCAAGTGATATGCACCTACCTCCTGCGCAGACATGGCCTCTAGCTCTTCAGCTAAACTATTCCCACTGCCAACACCAGTCAGCAAGTTGCGACCTTCTTCCAAACTCCGCGTCAGCATCTGTGCCTGTAGTTCTTCATTTGTCTCTTGAAGATCTGAATTATTTACCAAAATTAGCATTACAATGGATACAAAAAACAGATTAATTAAGCAAAATGCTACTTCTAAAATTAATAGTTAATCCAAATTTGACAATAAAGGTAAAGTGATTATTAACTTTGCTGTGACCAACTGTGTACCGTAGTATTATGTTGATTAAAGATAAAGTTAGCATTATTTACAACTGTAAACACATTTTCCATCCCTTGCTGAATGTTATGAACTGTTACATGCAGTTTAATTCTAGACACAGTAGTATAAATTCTTGAAATGACAGATAAGAGCAACTCCTTACTTATAAAACATTCAGTTGGAAGACATCAAGAGTTTCACTTCTAGAACAAAAAATGGATTATGCTATTAACAAAAGGCATTTTCAGAAGCATCTTACATTTCACAAAATTTGTTGTATGGCACATATAGAGTTACAGTGAATTCTCATTCTGTTCTCTTCATCCTACTGTTACTTTATCTTAGCTATGTCCAAATATTCTCTTCAGCACCGTTCTCAAGCGTCCTCAATCTGTCTTTTCCCTCAGAAAAAGTTGTGTGTGTATACACACACACATCAAAAACTTCCATAAACTTAATGAAACTGATATTGAAATATTTTGCTTAGAAATCCTGTTACAAAATTGTTATTAATACTCCTTTTCCAGAAATTAAACAGTACTCTATGCCATCTAACTAGCCAAGGTACTGCACAAGACACATTTAACTCAACTCATTAACATACTTTTGTTTTGGTGCCGTAAACCAGTCACCTCCATCTGCAGCTCATTTAATCTTGCTGTAAGGTCATCATGAAGTTTCCCATTCAATTCTGACTGGCTTCGAGCTTCCAGATTGTGCGCTCCCCTCTGATCTGCCTTTAGTCGTTCTATTTCTGAACTTAACTCTTCGACCACCTGAAATGTTAGAAATAAATGCATAATGAGGAGGTCAGGCCTGTCTATACATCTTCATATTTTATACAGTTAACAGATTTTGATGAAATGTGGTATCATAGACCTACAAACAGTTTTTCTTCTTCTTTATTATGCTATCTCCTTTACAGGAGGTTGGCGACATATTATGAACAGGAACCTTCCATCCTTTTCTCAGACTGGGACCTGTTCATATATGTTTTTTAGGCAAGTGATACAGAAGTTGCCTTCTCCTGTGTGTATGGAGTAATTTTTGGGATGCCACGGAGAAACCGGGTAAGCCCCAGAGGAAAACAGAGTTTTTACATAAATTAAAGTTCGGTCCATATTAGTCCAATACAACATCCACCTTACACAAAACTTAAATCAAGGATCAGTTTTCTTATAACAGACTTTTGTACAGAGAATTGATAGACACAACAAAATACAAATATAAATAGAACATAAAACATACAATATCTATACGGAACATTTTTCATTACAGTGCAATTTTAAAGAGATATAAGGAAAACCTTTACTGTGCCAAGGATCAGGTTATTATATGCTGGCTTCTGACCACAGAGACTCGGGCTCATACCCAAAAAACTTCAAGTGAGATTTGTGGTGTACAAACTGGCCCTACAACAAGTTCATGTTCTTCAATTTTCCCTTGCTCACCATCATTTCACCACAGCCCCATACTTGCATAACACTATCTCAATGGTCCTGATCAAGCCGTGCATTATCAAACTCTCGGTCCTAAGTCGGGGGCCTCATTTCTGACCAAGCACTTAAGCTGGTATCAGAGTAAAATTAGTTTTTATAAGAATAATTATGTATGCCTCCCTCTCAAATTATGACTCTGCAAAATTGAATCTGTACTACTTATTAGTTTACTTGACAACATATTTATTTTGCAATAAATAGGCATCTGCTGGAATGAGGAATTCAATATCACAAATAACATGTTTGAAAATCATGTGTATTGCAGCATTTCTGTTATTTCCTGAAGGGCACTTCTCAGCACACTTGCCAACCTGTGCATTTGCTATCCTCTCATCCTTTGCTCTCCGCTCCACATCCCGCAGCGTCTGCAGTTCTTCTCTCAAGGCTGCCAATATCACTGCTTCCTCTCCTCTTTGCTCTTCAGATGCCTGTTTCTCTGCTCGTAGCCGTTCAACTTGTGAGCGAAGCCTCGTAGATTCTTCTCGTAGGCTTGCTCCTTCTAATTCCAATGTCTGTAACCTACAAGTTCATGATGATTCAAATTTTGTCCTTCCTGATTTGGCCGTGTAAACCCCAGTGGATTCCGGTTAATTGGGACACATCGGGACCGGAACACTTTGGCCCAATTAAGCGGCTGCCCCAATTATGAGAAGTTCCATGTAAAGAGTTAAAAAGGTTCGTTCTTTAAGATGTCACAAATAAACGGCTGCCCCGATTAACCGATGGCCCAATTAACCAGGATCTACCGCATATGTATCACCTTCTTTAATAATCAGTACTTCTGCCTTTTTCTCACGGAGCTGCATTGTGTCTTAATATAAGAGGTGAATTTCTAAGTATTATTTAGTTGAGCTTTGGGTTCAAAGGACTAATCAGCCTAACAACTCACGTTCTTAACAAAATTATAAACCCCAATTGTGTAATTTTGTTACGTCAACTTTTACAGGTACAAACTTCATTCTGAAGTACACCCTCAGAGTGAGACGCCGAGCATGTCATTACACCGTGTGACTTACCTAATGTTGCAGTTCTCTATTTGCAGCTGCTTCTCCCTCTCTATCCGCACCACCAGTTCTCGATGCCTCTTCTGCTCCTCCTGAAGACGTTCCTCAGCTCGGAGCTCAGATTCTCGCAGTTGTTCTTCCAACATGTGAACTCGAGCCTGAAGAGCCGCGCTGTCCTGTTTGGCACGAGTATAGCGATCGTCAGTGTTGTTCTGATTGTCTGCCAGCACACTGACTTGTTGCTGAAGCATCTGAACCTGGAACAAGAAGGTAAGTCACCCAGTGGACTTGATTTATCTGGCTTAGTACAGAGTCTGATGGCAAACTTTCATAAACATGATAACTGACCTTTGCTTTCCTTTTGAATTTATTAAACTTACCCCTTCATATTAAACTTTTAACAAGTTACAACAGGATATCATATCTTGGATACGACGTACTTCTGGAAGGAAATACATTTAATCGAGGAAAGTGTCAAAACGGAATCAGTGCCATGAATAACAGTTTTCTGTTAATGTATAATTTGAATACTAAGAAGCAACAAATTATAAGCTGTTATGAGATTTAAAGTTCTCACAGCAGTTTCGATCCCAAAGCTGGTCTTCTGAGTAGCAAAACTGTGTGGACTTGTGGGGAAATATCAATGTTTTCTTAAACATACTGTCTCCACTTTCAGGGCTGACAGGATTTTTATCCAAAACGTTGGTATCAGACTTAAAAGTTAGCCACATGATTTGGTCATAGTTGAGTATCTTGGGGATATGGATTTTTGAATCACGAAATTAAAAGAATGGAGATGTGCAAAATCACACATTTCCTTTTCTTATTCCTTTACACAGTATATGTCCTTTTCTAATGTTTCCTCATTTCTTACTTTCTTCTGTCATCTGCATTAAGAAGTGGATCAACAAAATAGAATCCTTGAAACATGTCATCCCACACTTTTTTGTTTTTGTTTTCTACTTATTACATACTTCCATCAAGTTCTTTTACTTAATACAGCTCAGTCTCGGTTGTCCTGTGAGTCTCTACTAATTCCATTGGTCTTCTAGGTATTCCATTTATATCCAACTCAATAACCAATTTTTATCTCAAATTTTTTCAAGTATCTGTAACTCCAAATTCCTCGCTGCATTTTACCATACACTCTCATGTCTTTATTCACATCTGCCAGACGTGAGTGAATGTGAAATGAACATCCGAGACGAATACTGATCAATGCAGCTTGAACGCACACCCTGCATACAGCGACAGGAAGTGCATGACTCACTGACAATTACCACCGGCCTAGCTGCAACATCCTCACAGCAGTTACGTCACTGGCACTGACGTAAAATAACGACATTCACGAGTTAAAAGATAACCAAGACAGAAATTAAGAAGAACCTGTTCATTCACCCTTCGGTCAAACGTTCCTTGAAACATACCATTTTGCTTATGACACGGTGGCGAACACGCTGATAATGTTCTTCTGGGTTATGACGCCATGCAGCAGTCTTCCAGGAGGTTATCAACGTTACCGTTTTCAGGGTTCACACTTTGCCTGCTTTTAGACTTGCCGTCCACCAGCTCGCGCACGAGCGTATTTTTGTAACAATGCTATCAAACGTCACTGTCATAATGTTCTGTAGGACCCGACACACACAGACGGACAGACAGAGAGACGTGGACGGGCTCATAAAATGTTCTTCGTTCAAAATAAATAGTAGTAACACCTAGAAAGATAGTCTATGGAATACAGTTTTAAATTCAATAAAGAATTCTAAATTGCAACGAACGCATTTTAAAAACCTAACTAAAGGAAACTTTTCACTGTGGTTGTGGTTTGTTTAACGACGCTGTCAATAGCACCAGCCTATACAGCGTAGAGTAACAGGGTGATTAATGAATAATGATACGTGAAGAATGCGAAAGAGAGCGGCCGTGGCCAATTTTAGAACAGGCCTACAATTCCGGAATTTTCGTGGATGAACAGAGCAAAATTACTAAATGCCGGTTTCCGGGCCGAGATTTGAGCCATGGCCTCTCGAATGCCAAACTGGAGTGCTAACTACTCGACTAGGATGTTCGATAACTCCATTCTTCTACTGTCACAGCGAATGACCACCTCAAACATGGCCCCATGAAGACATTCATTCTCACTGCCTTGTGAATTTTCTCAGTCCTTGCAACTGTCTTTTACCACAGCATAAAGTAGTTCCAGTAATCACACCGTTATCCTACGAATACATCACACAAATTTCCAGCTTTTATCAACGGAAGGCGATTATACATACGTGCACAATAGAATCATAAATTGCCATGGGTACAAATTGGCAGCATTTCTTTCCGTAAGGCAATTTATGCCAGGCCACATATCAAATATGCCAAAATAAATATTTTGCAATGCGTGTGTATTTTTCATAACGACACTCAGTCGAAAGTAAATACAAATATCTGAACATCCACCACTACATTATCCTAATTTGGTCCAGTGTCTTTCATGATCCCGAACTAAAATTCTCATTCAAGCCTGGATACGAGGCAGAACGTTCCTCCGAAGGACTGGTATCTGCCTAGAAGTCCACACGGCGTTACAATCCAGAAGCCAAACATGGACATCTTCCCGGCCGTGAAAATTTCTAATATCATACCGCGTTGCAAGTTTCTTATTTTGAATTACCTCATGACATTCATAGTAAAATAATAACAGCACTGAAATGACTCTCAGAAAATTAAAACACTGTTGGTACTCATACATAGCAGAATGCGTGTATTAAGTCAGAAAGCTATCAACCACATTCGCCTAACCTCTGAGACTGAAATGCATACAGAGCTGTGTTCACAGAATGTTCGCTTCTCTCCCCTGCTTCGTATGCTCTTCTCAAAGTGTGAAATCCGAAAAAAGGAAACGAGTTATCATCATGATTCCTGTCTTCTCAACGTTTTCGACGGGCACCACTGAGGAAAAAAACTGTAAAGGTTTAGGTAAAGGTAACAAACACCAAGAAGGCGTACACGAGTGAACGTAAAGCTCCATACACACAGTCTTAAATCTGGCACTAGACAGCTGTGAGTCAGCTGCAAGCTCCGGTCGGTTCTCCCCCGCGGAAGCAGCCGCCCCTGTACCCAGAGGCGTAGAAGCCGATCTTGACGTAAGTAAATAAAGTAGACGCAGCGACGGAAATAAAAATGTTGTCCCTCCTGCAAATCAAACCATTGTACGCAATAAGTGTTTAATTATCAGTGTTAAGACATCGGAGGTGTTGGAATTCCAGGCGAAGGCACTGCGCAAACAAGCATGTTCAGCAAGTTCTAATCGTTTGCCTCGTGAATACATGCGAGACTCCTTCCTTATCTAATGCGATGATGTTTGGCTGGGAGCGGTTTGACACACCTTTCATAACTTGATTACTTCCTTTTTGAGAGCGAAAAAATTGTAATCAAAATATTTCCCTGTCAAGCGCCTTCCGGATTCGAAAACTGGATTGAATTGTAAACAGTCCCTCACAAATATTTGACTTGCACTCGTATGAAGTTGATGGGAAGTGTGTTCCATCTACGGAACCACTCAAAGAATTTCGATGAAATTTTATACTGAAGTTCTATACTAAAAATGTGTTCAACAAACTTCATCTCGGTTCGTAAACGTCCACAACAACTCCTATTTACAATAAGCTAAATTCGAATTTGGAATAGATTCGTCACTCAAGACCTGGGACCAATAGTGGGCAAATACATACTTTATTAAAACTGAGAACACGAAAATAAAATTTAACATTGCTGCTATAATTTCACTTCGTACGATTCCGAAATACGAATATTTAAAGACAAAAAATGTGGGTTAGTCCGCCGGGTGATAGCGATTACATTTATTTCATGATTCCATCTCCAGCCAGATGACCATTAAGGTGATGATTATGATGAATAAGATGATGATGATACGTATGATATGCTGCTGCTGTGTCATGTAGTAAAACATTGATTTTATATCCCCCCTCTTTCGGTTGTCTGGCGGCGCACTGTAAGCCAGACCATATTTAACAGAAATCAGTTGTATAAGTTGGGAAATTAAACAGGTTAACTAACAGATAAAAAGACACCATCTTCCATTACGTGTTCGTATTACTCACTTCCAAAAAAACACATAAACAAAGTGCAAGGTACTCCGACCAGCCAGAATCTGGATACGAAATTAAGTAATGGATAAGCTGAAATTACATCAACTTCACAATGACACTGCACATTGTAAGTCCACAAGAGGGTGTTCCGCACCGACAGGAGGTCTACCGGTTCATTGTGCTTTCTATTTGGTGCTCAATTAACCATGAATTTCTTTTATTATTTAATTTATTCCTGGCAACCAACAAAGAAAGGAAAGAGCACAAAGCAAAGGAGAGACAATGACAGTTCGGTCTCACAAGTGCGATGCTGTAATTGCAATTAGCCTTGGACGTTAACTGGACCAGATAAAAGGAAAGGAAAATAGTGGCACGATTAGAGCATCCTATACTGAAGAGCCCAACACAGATAGTATTATCTGCTTCGTAACCTCTTGTGGAATGTTTATACATCATCTTTCTCTCCTCGCTTCGTCATTCTGTTCTGCTTTCCTCCTTCCTTCTCCACTACTTTATTTCTTCCTCTCTAGATATTTATGTGTTACTGTCATTCCTCCTTCCCTTCTTTAATAAGCCCTTTCTTTTCTATCCCCCCCCCGGCCCCTCCCATTTTAAATGTTCAATAAGAGGACATTTTAACTTAAACCCCTTCAAGATTTTTTTTCCCTCGAGATATACTTCACTAAAAACTGAAAGAGGAGTTTAACAATAACAGCAGACAAATTTTTGTACTCCTTTGCCATCCTGGACGTTTTATTTTTACAAAACTTGACGCACGCAAGTCCTTTACGTTGAACACGATTCATTACGACACACAAACAGCGACGTATCTTCGCTACGCTCGCAAGTTCTCTGCGATTTCATTGTGCATTTGACACATTCCTGCAGTGAGCGTAGTTCAGCGTCCACAAACGCCTGCAACTTCCGTAATCAAACAACTTCTGTTCACATCTTCGCCTTTTATCTGTTTACCTTAACACTATCATCCTCCCACCCAAACGTCAGTCTAATAAAAGGCATCTCTCTCCCAGGTTTTGAAATCACAATGTTACGCGCAATCCCAGGTTGTGCCATGCGTGTAGAACTGCAGTAATCTCATCCGTCAAGATAAAAGTTTAGAAATGGGTCTGAGAGGCAGCCTCATGCTCCGGCCGCTTTACCCTTGGTAGTCATTTGAAAGAGGGCTGGGTTAGTCCTGGAGCCGGGTATATTAAACTGTTTTAATCTGTAGGTTACGGTAGGATACAGAAGGTGAAAAGTTCTGAAGTGATGGTACAAGGCATTTCCCAAATTTAATGTGTTCTCATTTTCATCTATCATTTTATGTACTAGTCTTCCCTTGCTTGAACTCAGCCTCACTCTCAAACGAATTTATCAGCGGACCTTGTCATGAATTATGGTTAAGGAACACGAGTATATAACTCATTGTCTTTGCGTTTATTTCTAGACCAGCGTGACTACAGACTTCCAAAAAAATCCACTCTCCTTCGTGGAATTATGATTTTACCCCACAGGCCTACACTAACAGCATTAACTTATAGAAACTAGTAGCTAGTTTTTATTCCATGAAGTTATAAATCTCTCTGATTCTCTCCAGGCCTCTCACAATCTGTGCTTTTCATACACAGCAGAGACAACAAACTGTAATCCATACGAACACAAACCGAGAAGTCGGCGAAAATTAATGCGTGTAGTCCCTTTCAAACGTGTTTACTATTTTAATTTATTCCGCCGACAACTTGTATTAACATTTCTTGCGTGAAGCATGCAATGAGTTTACACCATTTTGGGAATCGGAATTCCATGACAGGTTAGGCTAGATTGCTTTCGCATTGTCTGTCCTGGGTCTGTAAGCACAGACAATAGGAATTTCGCAAGCAATTTTGTGGTAGATCAGGACATGTGGATGGATGCTAACGACTCAGTGTGCTGTAAAGTTGTGCCTAAAATAACTTATCAAATGCAAAGTTCTGACTCACTTGTTCCGTAAGATCTTCACACCAAAAATGGGCTTCTGTCTTCTTAGCTCCGTTACTGCCAAGTCTCAGCGGAGGTATTATGTGAACAGGTCCTTCTCCTCCACCACCACCACGAACACAGACCCCGCCGTCCCCTAAACCATCGCCACCGTAACCCCCACCTACGAATTCGAATTGTCCTTCCCAAAGATCCAACGCAAGCTCTTGTTCAATCGCTGCTTCGTCTTCATCCTCCGCACTCATCCTCGGTCGTACCAAAACACTACTGCGCTACTGCACCCATTTAACAGGCGGTTCTATATACGATTCACAATCTTCGCTACTACGTCACTGCATCACTTCCGCCCACTTCGCCTGAACACAGACTCGACGGATCTTCCTTCACTTCGATGACAACGCCGCCTTGCTACTTAAGACTGCATGTGTCCTTCGCACACACGACTGGGTGACACTCGCATCACAGCGCTGGTTAGCAAACACAATTAGCAGTTTCTGTGTCACAAAACTCAGGACATACTGCAGAAACAGCTGACGGTATTTTGGCTCAATTACACAAATCCAAGCTGCAGCTTCGTTCTCTGTGCAGTCATGTTCCTCTGCACTTGTGTTCAGACGTACCCAGTTCGAATCTCGGCCAGTTAAATGTATCCTGAGATTTTTACGTGGGTTTTTCAGGTTTTCTGGGAGATGCGGATGGAATACTACTTTGGAACAGGTCACGATAATCGCCACCCAAATCCGAACCTACTCAAAATCATAAACAATTTAGCACCTGATTCAAAGCTATATAACAAACACAGTTGAAACAGCGTTATTAAGTAACCTAAAAATCAATATCCGTGTAGCAAACTTGCAACAAACTTCCCAGGATGTTCATAAATTTTGCCACAAACGACCAAGAATTTTATCAAGACGCAATTATTGTCCATATGAATCACCATTAATAAGTTTGAAACACGAAATATTCTATACCTGATTTGTTATAAAATACTTTTTCTATCAAACTCACTTCTTACTGCTGCTTTGAACATCAACTACGATCATAAATCTGACCGCGTAAAAAAATCATAAAAAAGACGTTTCTGAACACAGTCTGTTCAGCATCGAGCCCTCGTGCTTCTGTAATCACAATATTAAATTTCTGTTGAACATTTTCTACTAAACCGTCTCGGCATTTCTCATCTGTTCAATATCAAACATATTTATCGCTGGAAACCAGACAAGAGGCATCTAGGTGTTAAGTTCTCTGATTCTAGATTTACAACTGCTACACTCCTATCTGCTTTGGTTCGCACTTTTCCTACGGAACTACCCTCATATTCCTCCTTTACGCGATCTCACATATCAATGTCACTTAATAAAGCAGCATGGGAACTCAGAAGGGAAGTTTTTAAACGACAATTTCCCTATTACTCAACCACCCTCCGCGTTGCTGAGATCTCACTCGAATGAACCCCGTTCGCGCCAGGAACAGGCGCAACGATGGTTACTTGGCGTTTTATTTGCTCTCTCCCGGGTCGCCGCGGAGCTATTTGTAGAGATGAAATAAACTCACAAAGTTAAAAAACTTCCTAGTCCGCCGCCACATCGCGACCCATTGGCGCCTTCACTATCCGCTCATTATTACGTCTTTCACTTGGAATGAACCATTTTACACACGTTTACAAGATAAAATTTCTGTCTCTACCGTGAATCGAACCCCAGTTGTCCAGCCAGTCCAGGAACACTCACGTGCCATATTTCTGACTGAGTTACCCCGGATCAATCCAAGGGCCAAGTTTTATTTGGAAGTTTAAACTATCTTACTGAGCACTATGCCATGAAGTTCTGAAACAATCAGCAACTCTGCATTTTGTCCAGAGTATATTTATGGGTTTCCTATAATTACCAGAATAAAAAAAAATCCTTAAAAATTAATTCCCGATTAATCTCTGATATGGATGTCCGTTGTGTTTTCTTTGCGGTAGGGACTGAATATTTAAATATTATTTCGACGAGCTTCGGCTTCGTAATGGTTAATACAGACGTAAAAGTGACATCAGTAGACACAAAAGTTACTTCAAATTATATTTTCTATCTGTTTTGAATATTTAAATATATACGGCACATATAAATGAGTAAGGTATGTTTGTTACGCGTGTATGATACACCAACTGCTTTCATTTCAGTACCAAATCTTCTATGACGTTTAATCTTCTGATATGAGCTGGGATGGATGAAGACAGTGAAAGTGTCTGGCTACGAGTTACATGACAGTACGTCCGTACCCAAAGAGCTTCCTAGGTACTGGGTACTGGGAGTGAAGCTGTCGAAGAGTGTAGTTGTCTGGGGTCGAGGTTAAGAATGTGTAAAACCTAAAGCAGGTGGTACATATACTTAACACTGACTTTTAAAGGGTTACGCGGCAACTTGGCAAAGCTGTAACAAGTTAACAGCGACGTATTTACCGTGCGAAAAGTAAATATTTAAAATAAAATATTTGATATGTAAACACGACTGAATTGCTGCTTCAAACTACTGGGGTTGCCCAGTAGGAACTAAAGCAAGAAGTATGATCCTTGAAGTTTTGTGTATTGCACTGTCAAAAGCTGAAGAACAAATTTTCTTCCTGCAAATAGGCTACTTGTCTAGCAGAATTTTTGTGCATTGTCGTTGACGTTCAGTTTTTACCAGAAGAAACCATTGAAAAAGTTGTTATTCCATTAAATTAGTTTACGAAAATTTGTTGACATTACATCTCTGGTTGAAATCGGCCTTGAATAATAAACAATTTTCAAAAACAAAATTACATGCGTTAAGACACGCATCTTAAGCGTAGTTCACTAAATATTTATCGGAGCGAAAAAAAATCAAACAAAATATGCAGAGAAAACTTAAACACTCTTTTGATTTCCTATGTATTTTGAGATAGCAAGTGAAAGAGTGCCGAGTCTTATCAAAATCTATTCTGAAGGTCTTTGCTTGTCGTCACCGCCTGCTTCACGCTGTTTCTCGGAGCTTCAAAAGTCTGCATTCACGAAATTAAAATTTACAGGCAGTAACAGCAAACATGCCAGCATTTCCACTTCTTAAAATGAACGTTTTAAAACTCGGACACGAATTTTTTCCGGGCAAATGCGACTGACACCGGAGAATCAATAAAAACCTCAAGAAGCCATATGCCAAGTGAGCGACTGTTCACAATCACAAACAAACCGTCACTGTGTCTGCTGTGTTGATGGCTTGGCAGCTGGAAGTTACGACACACTCAGCTGTTATACTTAGGAGGGGTTTGTATGTAGACTTATCTGATGATTCAACCAACAGATTTTGTGAAACGTCAAGGCGTGTAGTGAAAATATATGTAGTACATACAACGTCCAAAATAAGAGGTCATACACTGAATGTCTTCTGAGGAAAAAGTAACAATTTTGTACCAACTGAACTTCTTTGTCGATGTTAGTTTTCTGGGTTGAAGTGCCGTGTGGTCTTGCAGGCAGATACAGAAGTTTTCGACAAACACACTGTCTACAACTTCTCCGAAACGCTTTTTTTCCCGTGTCCAGTACACACCGTTCAGCATGGTGTGCATTGGTGGTTAGCAGGATTCACGACCCATCAGTACATGGGTTCGATTTAACGCTCCTGCTGTGACCCCCTTTTTGCGAGATGATGAAAGTGGAGTAATTGTTGGGATGCCACGGAGAAACCCCGGAGGAAAACTCCGTGATGCCTAGACCACGGCCTTGCCCAAATCTGAGCACCGCCGGGAATCGAACCCGGGACCCCAGTATTACGAGCCCAGCGTTCTAACCGCTAGACCACCGTGGCGGTTTCCGAAACGCTGGTCCAAGGCCACTCGGCGTCACAACTCAGACGACCAACATTGACGTCTTCACCGCCGCGAGAACCTCAAATCTTATTTGAAATATCCCTCCCCTGAAGGAAGTTTCTTCATTTTAATATAAGATTGAGCAATACATCCGAACCAGGACAGCAAATGCTGTGTTATATACACTAATGCCCCAATTTTCACCCAACTTCGCAGCCAGCTGTCTCCTTAGTCTCTTTAAAGAGCTTCATAGGCGAAATCAATTATTCAAGGACAGGTCCCACCTTCTTGCTACATCTGAGGGACCAAAGTGCAGCGTGGGTTAGCACACTGAGTACAATAGTCTCGTGGGTAGAGCAAGGGCGGAAAATTACAGAATCCGCATAGCTTCCGCCTTTACGAAGCCTTTCGCTACAGAAACCTTATCTGATTCACGAAATCAGTGAATTTAAGGCACAATCACTGTAACAAATCGATCGATTCTTTGTTTATCAACGTTTTACAACAGACTATGGAATAAAGAACTGGGTAAAACCACAAATGATTTAGTCACATAGTTGACCTCCAATCCGAGCACTGAACGCGAGATGGCGAAATTCCGTACCGAACAAATTCCATGTATTTTTTAACCAAACGGATTGGTGTTAATGGGGACAACTCTGCTGTGTACTCTGGGGGTGCGGGGTTCAAATCTCGGCTCGGTTTGAATATCGTAACAAGTCGTCCGCTACGTTATAAATCCTTTATTACTCATCATTCACAATTACCTTACCATTCGACGCTACACAATAATGCAGGTAAGAAAGTGTCATTGAATAAACAAAGAATCAATCTATCTTTTCACTTTGTGTTAACATCAACTGCACGCATAATATTGTATTCAGCCCTGAAAAAGGACCGAACGACGATATTATTATGGAAGGGCTGACAAAGTACGACAAACCTCAGGATCCTCGTAGATCCCGCTAAGATTCGAAACGGGTACCTCCCGAATGCGATTCATATGGCACCGCTTTAGACAACTTGATCGGTGTCGGATTATTACAAAATATATCGACACGGAAATTCTTGTTACTGTTTGCGTACGTCTGTGTTAATCACACTTCATAAGAAGGGCAGATTCGGTTTGTCACGGGAAAACACTAGGAAAAGTAGCAGGGATTTCCCAGGAAACCTAGTGAAAACTCGAAGGAGCATTTTTAACTCATTTGGCAAACACTGGAGAACTCAGCTCTGTTCTTTTGTAATCCCGTGAAGCACGAACATACAGGTAAGTAATATTTAAAAGTTCAGTTCCTACCTCAAAGAAAACATAACGCGTCTCCGTTACAAACATCAAGTAATTTGTGTTGCTAGGGAATACTCGCACTTCACTTTGAGAATTATAATAACCCACAAATAAACTTTCTGGGCAGAATTCAGAATTACTGAATGATAAAACATGTGGTACATATAGTTACCATCGTGCTTCAAGCAGTGTGGGCTAATCGTTAGTACAAATCATTCCAGCTTACCAACGTAGCTAATCACCTGTGAACACAAATCGGTTCTTGCCAATTAAACCACTAAAAAAATACACGTGCCTTTCTGACTTAACATTTGGCCCCCACACCGAAACACTTCAATGACAAGCATTTTCCGCCGAAACACATCGCGAACTTGATCTTGTTACTGGAACACACGCTAGGATCTGCGTGCAATGCAGTAAGAGTAACTTCGGTGAAGTAACCAAACACCTGATATCGGCACGGAATCTCTTCATGTGTTTTCGTTCTCTTCATTAAATGCACCACGAAGACACTGTCCGTCTGCGTACTTGGGTTTTATCAAAACGCTGGTCCAAGGCCACTCGGCGTCACAACTCAGACGACCAACATTGACGTCTTCACCGCCGCGAGAACCTCAAATCTTATTTGAAATATCCCTCCCCTGAAGGAAGTTTCTTCATTTTAATATAAGATTGAGCAATACATCCGAACCAGGACAGCAAATGCTGTGTTATATACACTAATGCCCCAATTTTCACCCAACTTCGCAGCCAGCTGTCTCCTTAGTCTCTTTAAAGAGCTTCATAGGCGAAATCAATTATTCAAGGACAGGTCCCACCTTCTTGCTACATCTGAGGGACCAAAGTGCAGCGTGGGTTAGCACACTGAGTACAATAGTCTCGTGGGTAGAGCAAGGGCGGAAAATTACAGAATCCGCATAGCTTCCGCCTTTACGAAGCCTTTCGCTACAGAAACCTTATCTGATTCACGAAATCAGTGAATTTAAGGCACAATCACTGTAACAAATCGATCGATTCTTTGTTTATCAACGTTTTACAACAGACTATGGAATAAAGAACTGGGTAAAACCACAAATGATTTAGTCACATAGTTGACCTCCAATCCGAGCACTGAACGCGAGATGGCGAAATTCCGTACCGAACAAATTCCATGTATTTTTTAACCAAACGGATTGGTGTTAATGGGGACAACTCTGCTGTGTACTCTGGGGGTGCGGGGTTCAAATCTCGGCTCGGTTTGAATATCGTAACAAGTCGTCCGCTACGTTATAAATCCTTTATTACTCATCATTCACAATTACCTTACCATTCGACGCTACACAATAATGCAGGTAAGAAAGTGTCATTGAATAAACAAAGAATCAATCTATCTTTTCACTTTGTGTTAACATCAACTGCACGCATAATATTGTATTCAGCCCTGAAAAAGGACCGAACGACGATATTATTATGGAAGGGCTGACAAAGTACGACAAACCTCAGGATCCTCGTAGATCCCGCTAAGATTCGAAACGGGTACCTCCCGAATGCGATTCATATGGCACCGCTTTAGACAACTTGATCGGTGTCGGATTATTACAAAATATATCGACACGGAAATTCTTGTTACTGTTTGCGTACGTCTGTGTTAATCACACTTCATAAGAAGGGCAGATTCGGTTTGTCACGGGAAAACACTAGGAAAAGT